CTTGACAAGAATGCTATGCACTGGGTTTCTTGGAAAAAATTTGCGACACCCAAGTGGGGAGGCATGGGTTTTCGTGAACCCCATCAATTCAATCTTGCACTATTTGGGAAGCACGGATGGAGGTTCTTAACTAACCCGGATTCTCTATGTGCAAGAGTTTTGAAGGGACGTTACTTCCCTGACACAGATTTCATGCATGCAACCGTTCCCAAATCAGCAGCTCCTACTTGGAAAGCGATCATTGTGGGCAGGGAAGCGGTGGAAGCAGGTTTAATAAAAAGAGTGGGAGACATGACTTCCATCAATGTCTGGACAGATAAATGGATTCCCGGAACTATCTCTTTATCCCCTATGGTGAAGCCGCTAAACACCAATGTTCAGTTGGTTTCAGACTTGATTGATGTCGATAATTGGTTGTGGCGGCAAGATCTTGTGCGCTCAACATTCATCACACCAGACACTGGTGACATTCTCAATATACCCATTAGGCGTGGGGGTGATGATTCATATGCTTGGGCCTTTGAAAGATCAGTCAACCACACTATTAAATTGGCGTACCAAAACGAGCGTCAAGCTCTAGAAGAAGGGACGACTACCGGCACCTCAGGAGATGAAAAACAGATGTGGAATGCTCTGCGGATACTCAAAGTTATCCCAAAAGTACGCGTGTTCTGGTGGAGAGTACTGAGAGGGATCCTTCCAGATGAGTGCACTCTCAAACACCATCACATTGCAGTTGTGGATCGATGCAATGTTTGCTTAGCAAAGGAGGAAGACCTCATGCACGCTCTGATTTTATGCTCTCATGCACAACGCTTCTGGGAGGAAGCTTATGCTTGGTTCGGCTTCAGACTGCCTCGTTTACACCCGGATTTTTGGGCTTGCGATATTCTATGTGATACACATTTTGCAGAGGAAGATCGACCAAAAATAATCACCATTATGTGGACAATATGGCACTCTCGTAATCGTATCAAGAATGGAAAGGAAGAGACCCGACTACGGCTCTCAGAACTACCAAGGGGGCACTCGCGCTCCTTGAACTCCCACGGAACCTCTCTACGGTTCTGTCAGGGCATGGTTGGAGGCCACCAGAACCAGGAGTCATCAAGATCACTACTGATGGGGCTCTAAATTTTGCTGATGGAAAAGGCGGTGCGAGCGGTGTAGCACGCTCCTCATCAGCACTGTTGGGAGCCTGGAGCAAGCCATACGGTATCTCAGACCCACTGATCGTCGAAGCTTTATCGCTACAAGAAGGAGCTCCTTTTGCGACACTTCAAGGTTACTCACATGTGATCATGGAGGTGGACTGCGTGGAGTTGGTGTCACTCTGGAACACTCGCTACAATTCTCGCTCAATTGTGGCTCCCATCTTAGAAGAAATAGGAGAACTAGTTTATAATCTTTCTGTTTTTGAGATTCAGCATGTAAACCGGTCGACTAACTTACCGGCACATCTATGTGCAAAGCGTGCTTGTACCCTGAATATGACCGAGTGTTGGCTCGACAAAACTCCATCTTTCCTGGTAACCAGCTTGCTGGCTGATTGTCTAGAGAATACTTTCATGAAATAAAGCTCTCTGATTTGATCGCAAACAAAACAAAACGTACATCCAGCCTTCATAGGACATAGGGAGGACACGAGAGCGATGACCAAGTGGCACACTTTTTTTCCTTAACACAAGTGGCAGCATGGCACGAGTTGATTAGCTCTACAGTTCACACATAGTACTCCCGAATCTTTTGGATTTGGATAAATTTTAGGAGGTGTTTGTTTCAGCGAGAAACCTCCGTTACCTGTTTATGGGGTAAACGAAAAATGTTACAAGTGTTTGGTATGCGCACGACGTAATTGGATGCCTCCGTAAACAATTGCAGGTCAGTTTTAGATCGATATCACCCACTCCCCTCCGTAAACGCTGGCGTTACCGCACCTCTCCTCCCATGATTCGCTCGTCCTTGACCTGCGCCGCCGCCTCCCCTTCGACTCCGGCGCTGGCGCCGACGCCTTCTAGATCCCCTTCCAGCCCCCTCTCCATCTCCCTCGATCCTCCCCGTCCAGCGCGCACCGCCGCTTGGTAGCCATCGCCGCCGCCCCTGGTCGCCGCCCTGTTCCCTGCCGCCCCAGCTCCACCTCATCGCCGGACTGCAAGGTACAGGCTCCGTCCCTCCTTCTCCTGTCCTCGCTCCTCCGTCCTCCTTTGTTGCCTGCTCTCCTTCCCATCCCTTGTCTGCTCTCCTTTTCAGCCACCGGCCACTGGCCACGATGACCTCGAAGCAGACACCGTAACTCGATTCCTTTACAGGCATGAACCAAACAAAACAGAGTTTTTCCATTACATCCCTGTTACCAGCGTTATCTAATTCCTTTACCATTCACGTTACCAGTCTCCAATCTAAACACCTCCTTAGGGAAATGCAATATGCAACGTACGCAAGCAGCAAGTAACCCAAGATGTTCCCTGTTAAGGTACAAAGAAGATGACGAATCAGAAAGCATCAAGCCATCAAGAAAACGAGACCCACTATGTTCTGTACACGTATATGCTCCATACGATGCAGGAGTCACACGATACGAAACTACTTCACAGCCGATCCACCATGCACGATGCATGAACGATTGACCATCTGATGGATGTGATGCACTTGGTTCCTTGATTCGATGGCTGGATGTGAACCATCGTGCATGGAGTGTCGTGTGTATAGCAGCGTTGCACACGATATGTATTTTCCTCGCTAAAAACTGCGCCGAGCCAGCTAATCGATGGATGCATCGCGCATGTGCCCTGAGTGACCCATATCTTTACGTAAATCATGCACAGTTTTTTTTACGTAAATCATGCAAAGTTTTTTTTACGTAAATCATGCAAAGTTCATCGCTGGGGCCGGGGCATCACAAAATTAGGTTTAGCAGAAAATTTGTGTAGGTAAACGAATATACTACTTGGCTGAAGGTCCATGTTTATTTGTCACATTTCACAAATTGGGTAAATTTGATTAAAAAACAAATTGGGTAAAATTAAACTTTAACAGGAAGCTGGTTGCAGAGGCCTGCTGGAAGTGGGCCGACGCATTCTGGAGCATACGAGGCCGCCCAGTGTTTGGCAGCAGAGCACTAGCTTTGCACTCACTGTGTAGTCGCTCCACCGTCCATTCCACCCTTTTTAGGCCCACCTCGCTAGTTTACAAGCACAAGCACCAGCTTAAATACCGGGCTGAACGATCATTTTCGCCGAGCTCAGTCACGAGAGCTTGTCACCCATGTGGGAGCATTAAGGTGGTGTGGATGTTTGGGGTGGGCTTTGGGCCTGGGCTTGTGTTGTAATATTGCTGGCCTGCCCATTCCAAGTTGGTAGTGGGCTGGGGGGCTGTTGCGAAAGCTACGGCCTCTCTGTGTCCCTGAAGTGGCAGGCACCAGATGGGGACCCGGGTTGATATCCCAAAATCTCAGTTTTTTTTTCCAAATTTCTCAGTATTTTTTTGAATTTAATGTTTGTATAGGGGTGTGGAACACTTGGGTGCTACAAATCCGTTTCCGTTAGGCCTTCCTTATTCTGAAACAAGTGCCAATGTTTCTTTCTTTCTAAAATTTGTTTTACTAAAATTTGTAATCTTAAACTATCGTACTAGTGACAAAGGAAGTTTTAAACAATATATGGATAGATGTAAATTTAATGGAAAAAAATAGACGAGAGGTCATGTGATAGCGTGGCTTAATAGGGAGATATGCTACTCACATCAATAAGGAATTTCTTTTTGTCCGGGAGCCAATTCGAAAAGAATTTCAAAGTTAAGTGTGCTCAGTTTGAAGTAATTTCTTGGGTGCGCATGGATGAGGACAAAGTGCACAAGAAAGGTTATTATTGATCTGTGTGGTCAGTCTAGATCTCGACAGGAGTAACGACTGCCGGTGAGTGTGTCAGAGACGTTACATGTCATTTACACAAACCATTAGCAGCTGGATTATCATGGTATAATCCACCTCATTTCCAAAGCCAAAACCAATGAAGAAGGACAGAAGTGAAACTGCTTGCTCCATTAAAGGTTGTTGCGTGCGGATGAAGAGTGTTGTTGATCATGGTGCCGTTGCTGTTGGCCACCTCGAAGCTTTTCCTTGCCTCGCTGTGGTAGCACCAGCAGGCACCAAAAGCCACTCTGCATTGTCCACAATGATGAGTGTAGGTAACCATGAAGCCATGCAATCCCCGTGAACGATGGGAGGAAAAAAGCAGGAGGTAGGAGATGGCAGAAAGGAACGGCCTCAAGAAGTTGAATGAAGGCAACAATGTTAACACGTGGGATTTCGCCGAACGAAAACCAAAACCACTGCCCAAGTGCCGAGTCGTGCAGGGCGATCGTGGACTTGGGACGTCCTAAAAGTATTTTAATGCGTTGTAAGCTCGTTGGCAACGTTTTTTGCAGTCGGGTGATACGTGTGCCATACTGCCATGGTCAATTTCTCCCGAGAACGAGTACTCGTTGCGTGACAAAGGGTGAAGGCAACAACATAGTACCAGTACATTTTACTAGTACATCTGGTGTGGGTGGCGGGGCCGTTGACGGTCGAGCACGTCTTGGCAGCTGATTTTCCACCTCATGCGCACACCCGCTTTCCTGTTGATCGCTTCAACACAACTCTGCTGCTCCTCCCCCCTAATTTTCTAACACTAAACAAACCAAACCAAACCAAACCAATTCATCATCATCGCCGCCGCCACCACCACCATCATCATCATCATCTTCTTCTTCTCCAAAAAACAAATCAGCGCTTCGCCAATCCCACCCACCACCTGCTCCCCTCGGCTCTCCTTCTCCTAAATCGCAAGCACTCCCTCCGCCTTCCGCGTTCCTGATGCAACAGACAGTCCTGCGGTTTCAGTAGCCAGAGGAAGGAGAAAGGGGACAGGCGCCGTTTTCTGTCCTGAGAGGAGATCCTGCTGGTCCAGTCTTGGTTGTTGAGGCAGGGAGATTGTAAGGGCCGAGAGAGGGGGAGGGAGATGTCTCGTGGCGGCGGCTACGGGGAGATGGGGCAGAAGATCGACTATGTGTTCAAGGTGGTGCTCATCGGCGACTCCGCCGTCGGCAAGTCGCAGCTGCTGGCGCGGTTCGCGCGCAACGAGTTCAGCCTCGACTCCAAGGCCACCATCGGCGTCGAGTTCCAGACCAAGACCCTCCAGATCGACAACCGCACCGTCAAGGCCCAGATCTGGGACACCGCGGGACAAGAGAGGTAAAATTTTCACTAATCACTAATCCAACCCCAAACCGACCCTGCTAGCTGTATCTTCTCTCCGTGCTGGCCTCGATCGTTTTATTTTGTTGGAGAATCATATTATGCATATAGGCCATGGCCTGATGGCCATGCACTGCAGCACTACTAGCGCGCGGTAGTAATTACCTTGTCTGTTTCTCTAGTTATGATATGAATGAATGAAGATTGTCGTGTGGAATGCAGGCAAGCTTGTAGAGTTTCCTCTGTATTGGTTTTGCGCATGGTCCTGTCCTTGGTCAGTGCAAGAGTGATGGATTTGTCATTGTCCGTGACCTTATTGTTTGATCTGTGCAATTATGCTGGAATTAATACACTGTCTGCTTTAAAAGGGAATTATTGTTCCTTGTGTTCCTTTCTCTGATGAGGTGTCCTCAACCGAAAGTTATGTTTGGAATCGACATGCTACAGATATTAAGCATGTTCTTTTACAACAACACTAATATTTCCATGGTAACAAATTTGATGTTTGTTCCATCATAATCTAGATCGGACACTTACATCAGAATAGCATTCCTTATATTTTGACACCTATCAGAATTTACAGTTACCTATTATCATACATAATTGCAATTACGGTGAGATTAGAATCTGCCAAAAAACTTTAACTAACTCTTCTCAGGAATAAAACACTGAAGAAATAGGTAGCACATTAAGCAGCTTATTAGACAATAAGTCCCAGCATTAGCTTATGGCACCTAATAGTAATGTCTTTTGGCACCTAACAGTAATAGGTCTAGCAGTTTCTTCATGAATATTTTGTTAATTTGCAACTGAACGGTACTGATTGGTGTTGCAAATGAACGGTGGCAGTTATAATAGCCTACCTCCCTACCCCAGCTTTGCTTGCTTATTTGATTGTTCACTTTCAACATCTAAACCAGCTGCACTGAATGTGGTAACAGGTACCGAGCAGTAACAAGTGCCTATTACAGAGGTGCAGTAGGAGCTATGCTAGTGTATGACATGACCAAGCGCCAGTCCTTTGATCATATGGCACGGTGGCTCGAGGAATTGCGAAGCCATGCTGACAAGAACATTGTTATCATGCTCATCGGGAACAAATCGGACCTGGGCACCCTCCGGGCTGTCCCAACAGAGGACGCCAAGGAGTTCGCCGAGCGTGAGAGCCTTTTCTTCATGGAGACGTCCGCTCTTGAGGCTACCAACGTGGAGAAGGCCTTCATGACCGGCCTCGAAGAGATATACCGCACCGTCAGCAAGAAAAACCTTGTCGCCAACGACGAGGCTAACTCCGGTGGGAACTCGAGCTTGCTGAAAGGAACGAAAGTTATCATCCCTGGCCAGGAGCCGGCCCCTCCGGCCAAGGCAGCATGTTGTATGTCCTCCTAGATACCATCTTGTTCCTGGCAAGTAAAGTTTCTAAGTTGATCTCGCAGTGTCGACACGCTGAATGGGTGGGATTCTTGGGAGGAGGGATGTAATTACATGAATAGGTGACTCACATAAATTGTAATCTTGTTGATGATTAGATTTTGTATCTGATTATACGGTGGCGTACAGTTATCATGAATCCTTCTATTCGGGATGTAATTAGCCCAACCTTTCATGCTGGTTGTGCTGTTCTTCCCCCTTTGCTCTCCACAAACATACTAGACCGAAAGCGTGTGCTGCTGCGTATATCTGTCAAAGAACTACAGAACGACATGAGAAAAATCGCAAGGGCCGGCCCATACAAATATCTGAATACTTTGGTTGAATGCATCCTAGTTGTATAGAGCCTAGGTGTGAGCTCGTTTTGTTTTATATCCGCTTGATATGGCATTATGGGTTCATAAAGTACCCCTTATTGAGAAATAATGTCTGAATACTAATCCAAGAGTACTGTCAATGTTGGTACTCCGTTCATCTCTTTCTTACCGTTCGTCAGGAGTACAGCATGGCAAGCACAGGTGGCATGAACCATATGATGCATTGTTTGAATTGCACAGACTAAAAACAACTGGATATAGCAACTATTTAGGTATTGCTATGATGATTTATTAAATATAGGCTTAAGTACACTATGAGGATCCTTTGGTTGAGATATAGACGGTTTCTTAGCTGTAATTTTATAGTGTAGTTATGATGATCTATTGACTCCGTTAATTCTAAATCATAGGGCCCTAAGCCATTATATTTTCGCATTCGCTAAACATCAAGCACCTGAAAACAAATTTTGTGTCGGTCATTTTTTTTCTGCTTCGCCACGAGCGTGGGACGGGCAGGCCGTGGACTCCATGGCGAGTGCGAGCTGTGAACGAGCGGGAGCCGATGACGCTGCAGAGTCGAAGGCGGGAGCGTGTCCGAAACTTGACTGGTGTGGGTTGGGGGTGCATGGTGGTCATTGGTGTTGTACATTGGGGGAGGGGGAGGGGGTTAGAGGGCCAGCACCGTGGTGGGGAGGTTGAGGAGAGGGTGAGGCCAGTGGCGGAGTTACGTTGGGGCAAAACCCGGCCATGGCCCGCCCAGTGTAGCACCAAATAGTGAAGATTGAGAGGCTCTTAATTGGAAAATTAATAAGGTTAGCTTTAGTCTGGCCTGTTTGGCCCGCCCAAGGATTTTAACCTAGCTCCGCCACTGGGTGAGGCGGCAACGCGGTGCACGGTAGCTCCCACTGTCTCCGGCTAGCGAAGGCTGGCAATTAGACAATCATTGATTTTCCGTGACAACAGTGTACAACAACACAATAACAATATTCATTCATACATGAGAAGAATTCTCATTAATTCGGTCCTCACGAGTATGCCCATGTTTCTCCTCTTCTTTTTCGAGGTACCTGTTGGAGTCCGAAAAAGGCTAGACTTCTATCAATCACGCTTCTTCTGGCAGAGTGAATAACTAAAATGAAAGTACAGACTTGCTAAATGGGATATCATTTATAGACCAAAAGACCAAGGGGGTCTAGTATTGAAAACCTGGAGGTGAAGAACAGATGTTTTCTTAGCAAGTGGCTGTTAAGCTTTCTGTCGAGACGGAGGCCACATGGGCTCAGATCTTGCGTAACAAGTACCTTCACTCTAGAACCTTGTCCCAAGTGACAGTGAGGCCGACTGATTCACCTTTTTGGAAAGGATTGATGAGAGTTAAATCACTCTTTTTCAATAGGATAATGTTCATAGTTGGAAATGGTACCGCTACGAGATTCTGGGAGGATACATGGCTAGGGGAGACGCCCCTCGCACTCCAATATCCGTCTCTTATAGCATTGTTCAGCGTAGAGACGTTTACGTTGCAACAGTACTGCAGTCCACTCCGCTCAATATTCAATTTCAGAGGACGCTAGTGGGAAACCGTTGGGAAGCCTGGCTCAATCTTGTGAGAAGATTGATGGATGTTCAGCTGTCTCAACAACCCTATCAGTTGTGCTGGAAACTAGCTAAGAATGGAGAGTTTTCGGTTAAATCCATGTACTTGGATGTTATCAACTCTAGCGCGATTCTTCGATCAAAACATGTTTGGAAAGTCAAAGTTCCTTTGAAAATCAAAGTGTTTATGTGATTTGTGCATAAACAAGTTATTTTAACTAAGGATAATTTGGCAAAACGCAATTGGACATGATCTACAAGATGCAGCTTTTCCGACCAACATGAATCAATCAAACACCTCTTTCTTGATTGTCCTCTGGCAAAAATTCTGTGGCGGTCGGTGTCGTGGTTCTAAGCCTGACAGTAGAATAGGGGGGGGGTAAGAATATAGAGGCAAGATCCTAGCTATGGAGGAGTTGTACACGCGAGTTTTACGAGTTCAGGCCCTTCTCGGAGGAAGTAACAGCCCTACGTCTCGGAGCCCTGAGGCGGTCGACTGGATATATGCGCGTGAATTACAAAAGGTGCGAACCCTTGTCTCGCAGGAGGTGGGTGGCTTATATAGAGTGCGCCAGGACCCCAGCCAGCCCACGTTACAAAGGGTTCAATGTACATTAAGGCAGGGCGTTACTGGTAACACTAGTAATAAAGAGATATAAATGATCTTTAAGGTTGCAGAGTGAATGACCGACCATTGTCATCCTGAGTGACGTTAGGCCTTCTACACTCCGAGTGGTTTCTCATATCATCGAGTGGTTGTTCGCATAGTCGAGTGTCTTCTATACTGTCGAATGGAACATAGCTTCACGGTCGAGTGGATGATGATTTTGCTTCGACCGCTTCTGGTTCCTTTAGAGATGTCCTTGGGGAGGGTATCTTGGACAGATCCATGACCCTACCCTAGGTACATAGCTTCATCATTAGCCCCCAAATGGATCAGAGTTTGAGTGAGGAAGGAGTTGGGAACACTTCCGACTCATTCTTTGTGATGTGAGTATAACTTGTTCTGGAACAATGAACCGAGGAGACATCATCAACTTCTTTTTCAGTAGCCTTGGTCCATTCTTAGTTTTTGTCGAGTGAACTTTCACGGTAGAATTACGAATGATAATGTGGAGGATGTTTCCGGTCTGGCCAGTTGCTCCGCTCTCCCGGGAAGCGCGCCAGACGGGCGAGGCCGTGGTAATCGGGACGGATTAGGCAGGTCTCCTCGATCTTCGTGCCACCTTTTTCGCCACGTACTGCGTGCGCGACTGTTGCGGGATTTTCTTAGATAGTCTGGGCCTACCAGTCAGTCACTCGGGGAATGACCTTACAAAAGGCACCGGACCGGGTCTCTGCACCGTGCGCTCCCATTCTCTTTTCTTCTTCCTCCGACCTCTCCGTCACGCTCGCTTCTGCTCTCGTCGCCGGACCCTCGCTCAAACTCGATCCGCCGCCATGGGGAAAGAGAAGACGGTTGCGCTGGAGCGTGCGAAGAAGGCGACCGCGAAGGCGAAGGGCAAGCGGACCAGCCGAGGCGGATCCTCGTCGAGATCCGGCCTGCCGCCGGGCTGGATCTAAGGCGACTAGATCCACTCGACGATCATCCAGGACGACCTCGACGACCTGGTGGAGGGGGGACTGATCCCCCATAAATCGGCGCGGCTCCCGAGGAACGAGACCGAGCCGCAGCCAAGGGAGGGTGAGTGCGTTCTCCTCGCCACCCACGTCAATCGCGGATTTTCTCTACCTCCCCATCCTTTCTTTCGGGGCTTTTTGAACTTCTTTGGGGCTCAGCTCCACCACTTCACTCCAAACACCATAGTCTATCTGGCCGCTTTTGTGTCAATGTGTGAAAATTTCTTGGGTTGTCGACCGCACTGGGGCCTCTTCAAACATATCTTCACCTGTCGCTTCCAGTTGGTCAAAAAGACCAATCTGAGTGATGAGAGGACACACGTGATCCAGATGTGCGGGGGCCTGGGGATCCAGATGAGGAACAAGAGCACCTTCCCGGCGATGATCCTTCCCGACTCGGTCCGCGGCTGGCAGTCGACTTGGTTTTACTGCAAGGATCAGCCGACCCCGGGTCAGTCGACCAGACTTCCTCTCTTTTCCCTGGCTCGAGTGGAGAATCCCTCCTCCTTGAAGGTGGTCCTCGAAGAGAAGGCGCAGGTCAGGGTGTTGGTCGAGCGGGTCGTCCAACTCGTTCGGAATGGGGTGACTGGGATGGACCTGCTGGAGGTCTTTCTCGGTCGACGCATCCAACCGCTCCAGGCCCGTGATCATCCGATGTGGATGTACTCTGGACTCGAGGACTCCACTCGGATTCACCCGGAGGACATCAGTGAGGACATCTTGGAGAAGTGGCTGATGGGAATCACCAACAACAAAGACAACCCTCGGGGGTCTAGGAGGGTGATTCCATTCGACCACTCGCGCCAGCCGGAGCAGGTATGATTCTTTTTTCTCAAATATCTTTCCGATTCACTGTGTGACACCTTGTTGATGGTCGACTGTACTCCTTTTGCTCGTTGTTCTTTCAGGCTCTCATTGACATGTACTCGATGCCCAACGGAGTGCAGGAGCAAGACGTCGAGGAGGGAGCGAGCGGGGGCGAGAGCGGCGAGTGGCACTCGGATGCAAGGAGGACGAGGAGAGCGATGACTCGAGTGATGACGAAGAAGTCGAGTCGCCTCCTCGTAGAGAGAGGAGATCCAAGCACGCACATGACCCGGCGAGCACCCCGGACCTGGCGACCGCGCCGACTGGGCAGTCTTCGAAGCACTCCCGGACGTCTTCTCCAGCGCCGATTGAGAAGGCCCCAAAGCAGCCCAAGGTTGTGCCGCCTCCAGCTCCAAAAGCACTGAAGGCCACCTCCTCCAAACTGCCCAAGGCTTTGCCCAGGATCAAAGTGACCGTCCCTACCATCTCCGGGTAATCATCTGACTTGTTCTTTTCGTCGACTCGAGCAACATAACATAACCGACTGAGTACGGACACTTGCAGTGCTGCTACATCGGGAACCTCTTCCCTCCAGTATCGAGACGAGGAGATGGAAGA